TTTGTTTTTTTAGGTCGCTGTTCCTGGTGAAGGTGATTCGCTAACAATTTATAAGGGGTCGCAGAAAGCCGTGAAGCAGGACAAAGAATGCTTGTTGTTTTTTGACTCTGATACTGGCGAGCTTCGCCTTGAAAAGCTGACTTCAAATATATCTGTGAAAAAGACCAGGTGATTCCTTTTTTTTTTAGAATTATTAGGTGTTAAATGTTCGCTGGTTGTGCGAAACGAGAAGTTTTTTTGTTAATTTTTTGTTAGGAATTGCGTAAACTGATCTAACTTTTGATAGTTTTCGCATAATTCTGTTATGTTGTGAGGAAGAACTGAACTTATCGCATTCAGGAACGAGGTATTTAGGTAGTACATTGCACACAAATCTGTGTTTTTTTAAAAGGAGAAGTGTAGTAACTGGTTAATCAAGGTCTTTTTCTGATGAAGTAGTACTTATAGACTGAAAAACTTAGGGATAAATTAAAATTGTGCAGTTAGCGAGCTTTTGAAAACAGTACGGCTGCTTTTTTCTTTAAAATGTTTCAGCTGAAGTTCTAATGATTTAAAGTTTTTAATGATGATTTGTTGTGTAGTGCTGGTGTTTTTGTTTGAGAAGTTGTGGCTTCTGTTGGTCTTATTTCTTTGTTAACAGGTTTGGATTAGTCATATTTTGGATAACATAATTATCGTAAGCGTTTTGAACGAAATATCTTGTTCACTCATTTCACACCGAATCAAGATAAATAACTTATCAGCTTTGTGTTGGTAGAAAGTTTTTGTGTTTTTTTTTTATTTTCTTGTTTTCTTGGAGACTATGTTTTTGGGAGTATCGCTTTTGCAAAAACTGTTGGTTTTAAATCTTTTCTCTAGAGACGCTGATGAAACGAGCGTCAGTTTTCTTCGTATGGAAATTCAGAAACTTCGCGGAGGTACAAATATGGACGACGAAGAGATGGATGATGAAAGGGTCTGTTTCGAGAATAGGGTTTCTTTCCATTAAGGGTAGAAGTCGATAACCAGCAAAAAGTGGATTGAGCTTTTAAATAATTATTTTGGCAGTTTGTGAACTATTATTTTTTAGAGCACGAGCAGTTCGTCCTCATCTTCTTCAAGCGATTCTGGTGATCTGGATTCTGATTCTGATTCGAGCAGTGGAGAAACACCGGCTGCACCAGCAAATGAGAATAAGTCTACAACAAATCATTTTGATGGGCTGGAAACGAGTAGTGATGAGGAAGATGCCAATAACAGTGGCAGTGGTGAAGATGACGATGAGCTGCAAGGTTACTCTTCAAGAATTCTATATTTTTTTATCGTAACTTATACTTATGATGTAGGAGAGTTGAGTAAACTACGTTTTACCTAAACTACGTTTTTGTAAAGAATGGAAGTTCTTTAGTTCAGAAGATTAAGAACTGATCACAAACTCGAAGTGATTTATTACTCTGCTAGAATGGAAGCAAGACGTAGGGGTGGTCCTCGGACAAGCGTTTTTGACCAGGGGGTTTTTTTTTTGGGGGGGGGGGAAAAAATTTTTTTAAAGGTTATTAGACAATAGGATTGACGTTTTTGAAACTCTCATTATTTTCGTGTTCTCCTTATCGCTTAGGCTCAAGAAGTTCTCCAGCAATTGACCTCGTTTAATAGGGTTATTCTCGATTCTCAAGAATTGAATCATTGTTCTTTGTAAAATGGCCAAACGGAAGTACTTTTTCAATTTTAGATTTTAGGCGCTCATCTTATTCCCCATTTAATTAAGTGACCTTTTTAAGCACAGTAGTTGCTGTAGCATTAGGATCTTCTCAGACACATATTTTTACACAAAACTTTATGTCAAGGAAATGGAACCTACATACATAAACATTTAATTATCTCGAATCTCAATTTTAGGCTTTTTCATTCAGAGGAGTTATAGAAAAGCTTTTTCATTCTCTCCTTGTAGGTCTTATAACCTATTCAGCCGGGGTTCTTATTTTACCGTAACTTGTATTAGTATTTAGGATGTGAAGGCAACACATTTAACACTTTATTTGTAGGTAAAATATTCTAGAGGATTAGCTTTATTTTCTCTTTCTGTGAAAACTTTTTGAAGTAATTTTTTGGAGATGAACTTTATAGGACTTATATTTTAGACGCTCTGGAACAGCAGTTGAATTGCGCTTCTGCTCCTCTTATTGGTAGTGGAGAAACTGGTCATGTTGAACCCCCAAAATTGCCTGCCTATTCATCAACACAGAATTTCCATAGTAACACAAAAAAGGTTCTGGATGATTTACAACTAAGCGAAAGTTCAGATGAGGACTGATAAAGTATATATTATCTCTCTCTCGCTTATTATAAACTCTTTACTTCATCTCGGGTTGTTTTGCAACGTATTCTGTCGTTGATATATGTTTCATATACGTCTTATTATTTTGAAACCTCAATGTAATCATTGTTACTTTTGCTGTGACAGTTGTGATAATTTTAAAAATGGTTCCTTTGTTT